CCACTTGACTTCTCAGACTACGACAGAGAGAGAGAGAGTTGTGACTTGAGACTTGACGACATTGGATCCAGACTTGACATTTGGGATTCAGACAGTTCGACGAGGGACTATTTGGGTTTGTGCCGAAGACTTGGTGTTGACGACATTCCCATCTTCCCCCTCCTCTTCGTCTATCCCCTTCCTCCTCGTCTGTGCATGTTCTGGGCGGGCGTTGTCTTCCTGTGTGAAGCGCCAGACCCATTCACACTATGAAACGATGATGATGATGTATGTTCAGGGCTGCATTACAACATTGATTGTTCGGATCACTGGTATCTAAGTCTTCCGCTGTGCTATCTTATACCTTGTATTGAAAGGTCGGTTCTTGTTCTGGTCTGCACCTATACGGTATGCAACATCCAGAGTGCTGCTGCCGAATCCTGAAGGCTACCTCTGCAGGCCCGTCCAGGAGGCTGCTCTTGCCAATGCCTAAACGTGCTAGACCCTGAGGAAGCTTCCGGGAAAGGTAGCTTCTGGCTAAAGCCTGAGGGCCTATAGGCCCTTGTTTTCAGGGTGTCAGGCTGAAACGACACGGGGCCTGTAGGCCCTGGTTTTCAGGCTGTCAGGCTGAAACAGACACGGGGCCTGTAGGCCCTGGTTTTCNGGGGCCTGTAGGCCCTGGTTTTCAGGCTGTCAGGCTGAAACAGACACGGGGCCTGTAGGCCCTGGTTTTCGGGTTGTCAGGCTGAAACAGACACGGGGCCTGTAGGCCCTGGTTTTCAGGCTTTCAGCCTGAGGGACGCAGGGCCTGGAAAATGGCCCTCGTGTGCAGGCGCAACATGTAACACTATCTCAGCCTTAAAATTGAGCCCAGTATCTGTTCGTCTAGGACCTGACTGTGACTTTTCAAAAACGACTTATCTTTTCACTCTGGAGGCGACATTTTCTCCAGAGAACTTGTCCTTTGGAATGCTGCTCGTGAAATTGAGTTCTGGCCGACAGGGCCCCTTTTATATTGGGGTCACATTTAGGGGTCTGAATCGTAAAGGCCCTTTTACTGTTACTACTTCAGTGGGTTACTGCTGCTTTTTAAACTCCAACTATACTTTTAGCAAATCTTTCCACTGAGTTTTGGATTATGAAATGGGTGGATCATAGCAATGTAGTTAGTGGCATGACAGGTCATTTCTTTCTTGGTAAACCCTCAAAGCCAGAGGGCATCTCTTGCCCCTCTGCTGTTGTGTTATTAAAAGAGCCTTTACCCGTTCAGACCCTGGATGAGGAACGCAGCATAATGGGGCCCACTCGGCCAGAACTCAATTCGTGAAAAGCAAATCAAAAGACATGTTCTCTGGGTCAAAAGTCACATCCTAATTAAAGTGAGGAGTTGTGTCAAAGGTCACAGTCGTGCCCCAGAGTCACGTCTGTTCGTCCAGGGGGCTGTGCAAGTCAGGTCTGTTCGTGCAATAGATGTGTCTGTTCGTGTGGAAGTTGTGTCTGTTCGAATGGAAGTCAATGGGGTAGAGTTCCTGTCCAAGTCAAAGTCCAATAGGCAGTCCAGATTCAGACCCGGAGTCCAAAATTCAGGCCTAAAGGCCGCAGCAGCAGCAGACCCTAAGGGTCGTGGCCGTCCACCATGATGGGTGGAGGGCGCTCGTATGGTCGTCCAGCGAAACGCTCAGACGGACATCGTGCACATGAGCCTGGCGTAGGTAGTCGGGCAGCTTCACACGGAAGCTGACCGGGCTAGAAGCCGTATCAGAACCGACGCCCTGGAGGATGCGGCATGGGCCAAAGAAGCGACGCCGAAACCTGCAAAGCGTGTTCGCTTCGAGCTGTAAGTGGCGGGCGTCGATAAGCACATCATCGCCGACTTTGAATGGATGATCCATCCTCGATCGGTTCGGACGTGCTGCCATGCGAGTCTGGGAAGCGGCTATGTGCTCATGTGCGGTCTTCATAATCGACGTCATGTGTGCAACCCAATCATCCAGCGCGGGACAACTCGTGTCAGGGTGCATCTGCGACGGTTGAAGGAAGTCTGCAGGAACACGAGGGTGATAGCCGAGGTCGCAATAGTAAGGCGACATCCCCGTGGCTGGCGAGACGGCGTGGTTGTAGGCTATCTCCGCGTGGGCAAGATGGAGATCCCACTGCTCATCGTCACGAACAATCTTTCGGAGAAAATCTCCTAGAGTCCTGTTCGTGACCTCGGTCTGAACATCAGTCTGTGGAAAGTAAGACAAGGAAAAACGGACCTGGGTGTCGTAAACCTCGTGGAGCAGTCGCCAGAATCGGCAGGTAAAGCGCGGGTCAGGTCAAATATGATGCTCAGAGGTAAGCCGTGGTCACGCACGACTCGGTCAAACACGATGTCGGCGACCTCACGTGCACTGATGGCATAGCGGCACGGAACAAAGCGTGCACGCTTCATGAAACGGTCGACGACGACCAGGATAGGATCATGACCGCGGGGGGTCGGAGGACGAAGAGAACCGATAAAGTCCATCGAGATGGACTGCCAACGACCCTCAAGGATAGGAAGAGGCTGGAGCAAACCATAAGGCAGGTGGTTCGCACTGTTCACCTCCTGACAGGTGGGACACTCTGCGACGTAGTCCTTCACAAAGTCCTTGCGCTTCGGCCAGACGTACAGGCGGCTCACACGAGCCAACGTCTTGCGGATGCCCATATGACCGGCGGCTGCCTGGTCATGGAACTCTGCTACTGCTCGGACACGTAGCTGTCCAGTGGAGGGAACGCAAATACGGGGCTCTCTGGTGCCCTGTGAACCGTGCCAGTACACGAGACCGTTGTCCCCGAGAGAGTAGTTCGGGACAGTCTTGCCACTCCGAAGGGTCGCGTTGATGTCGCGATAGTCGGGGTAGTGGCGGTACTGAGTGCGAAACTCGTCGATCACCGAGTGGTGGACAGTGGTGACCGAGATGGAAGAAAGCTGGATCTGCTCCTGATCGTGGTGAGGGCGCCGGGATAAGGCATCTGCGACCCGATTAGTCTCACCCTTGATGTGCTCAGTGGTGAAACTAAACTCGGATAGGTCGCGCCACCAGCGAGCCTGTCGAGGAGTGAGCTTCGGTTTTGTCAGAAAAGCCTGGACAACAGAGTTGTCCGCGTGCACCGTGAATGGTGCCTCGTGCAGGTAGTGACGCCAGTGCCAAGCGGCATAAACTACTGCGAGAAACTCATGTTCATCAGCGGTGTAGTTTATCTCAGCGGGCAGGAGCCGACGAGAGTAGAAGGCCATCAGACAATCACCTGAGCGAGACTCGACAGTGTCGTCCTCGACAATGGTAGGAGAATAGTCAATAGAAGGCTCGTCAGTAGCTGGACGAGTAGGCGTCAGTCGGGAAGCAGTGGTAGGGGTAGGTGGTGGGAAGCGAGGGATACGATGTCGAGCGCATCGGTCCGGCACTACTCAAGGGCAGTGCGGGACCCTCCCGGCCGCGTCACGCAGGAGTTGGTCTAAATCCTCTTTGCGATACATACATGGAGCTTCCGCAAGCCGCTCCGACCAAGTGCGCCAGCCATACCTCTCGCGAGCCCCTACGACAGGATAGGGCCTACACGAGGCACGACTTACCTCCACCTTACGGGAGCTGTCACCTCCCTTCGGTGGGCGTATCCCCGTCGAGCTACCAGTCCATAGTACGAAAGCTGATCGGTTGCAATCGCAGAGGTGGACCAGCCGAGGGCGTTTCTCGTTCGCTGTAGCATAGGGGGTACGCGCGGTATTACGCCTCTATCGGACCCGTACGCGAACCGACATCTTGGGGGGCTGAAGTCCCAAGCGTGATTCGTCGTCGGTCGACTAGGACGTATCCCACTCACCACGCGCACACTACTCTAACACATACACACACACACATATACCGGACGACACTAGACGGACAACACGACAACACTCCTAGTCCCTTAGTAGCCGCCCGATAACTCTCCGATGCGAAAATTGGATAAGCGTCGCGCGCGAGACTTAGTATAAAACCAACGCGGTAGCAGGGCTAACCCATATCGGTTCGCAATGCAAGCGTACGCAAGCGATCGCCATGGTGGCGTACTATGTAGTACCCATGCTCATGCGGTCCTCGTTAGTCTCGAGGGTCGCTTTCGACACTCAAGTGTCGGCTGACACGCGCCTTGAGGGTTAATCTCTCGACGTTGGACAACCGCCAAGTGCGGTTGAAGACCACACCCTCTTCTGCACCCTGCGGAGAGCGGGTCGTACACAGGTTCATACCTGTGGTGGCAATTGTCTCTTATGGCCCTGGAGACCAGCTCCTTTCCCTAGGGTCTGGAAGCGAGTCAAGGGGTTTGACTTTGACGGCTGCCACGGGCTACAGCGTCCAACTATAATAACTCTAAAAAGCAAAATAGGCTGAAGGCCTCCCGGCCCCAAAAGTACAAACTTGGGTATCCTTTTCGATGGGTACCAGCGACCTACATTGATTTTGGACACACGCGCGTGCGACTGAATCCCTTAATCCCATAACTCTAGACACTGGGACGGTGAAACGTCGCGCGCAAGACTTTGATATAAAGTTGCGCGGTTGCAAGTCTGTCCTATACCAACCAGCGATGCTAGTCATACGCGGTAATCGCAGTCTCGACCTCGCGATATTGAATGGCTGAAGGAATGTATCGTGAGGGGTTACCCTTCACGATATTGAACGGCTGAAGGACATGCCGTTCGGCCCTCGCGACATTTCTGCCCTTAGGGTTGGGTGTTCCGATGGGCGGAGCAGATAGGCTCTGCGCGAGGGAAAACTCCTCCCCTGCAGACCCTAGGGCTTGGGATGTCCTGGACAAGGACCTTGAATCTCGGCCCAGGACCAACGTCCGACTACGAACTCAGAAGAAGTATACAATCAAGAGGAGGGGGTTCTTTGCCTACCTCAACCCCTATGTAACCTTTACTACGCTGGCCCCTTGGGCCATCCGAACTCCCAACATAGGTACACACACACACACACACACACACACACACATATAT